GCAGGGAGGTGGTTAGGGAAATTGTGGGGGGAGGGGTAGTCCCTATATAAAATGCACACTGAACTGTGTAAAACATACATTTTATACAGCGATTGCATTTATGATGGCGTGAAGCACTTTATGTGGCATTAGCAGCAATAACCAAGCGCTTTTTGTTCATCCTTTCCAAAGGGCTTTCAGAGCAGTTGTCACCTGTCACAGAGTGGCAGCCCAGACTGGCACCAGCCATGCAGGTCATACTAGTCTCAGGAAATAAAGCACAGCGAGTTGCTTTGGAGATTTTGTAGAAGGAAGGCTATTTGATGAGGAGGTAGGATTTGGAGGGCTGAGAGAGAAGGGTAGGGCTATGCCAGCCATTATTGTCTGAACAAAAGCAATGGAGCTGGAAATGCAGGTGTTGGGTGTAGCTGGGGAGGGTGGGCAGTGGGCAGCTAGCATGGCTTCGCTAGGGGGATTTTGTAAGGACAGTTTTGTAAGAGTACATTAAAGCCTAACTGGGAGGTGCCTCAAATGTCTCTTACCATGAAGACGTTGTGAGAGTTACTAATAAGCTGTGGACAGTAGAGGGCAGGCCAATGCTTGCCTACTCGCAGTACAGTTAAGGCCTAGTTGGGACTGCTCAAATCAGGAAGGCATTTTTATACTAGGGACTCTGATTTCTGGGTGTGTGAGGTGTGTGTGGCCATGAGGGTGAGAGGCAGCAACTGCCAAAAACTGGTTTCTTCTTTTTCTTTTTGTCATTGTGAGTCCTGAGGTGCCTTACCTAGCATTTTGACTTAACCCCTCCTGGGTGGCTATGGGATGCTAATTAACCTTTTGAAATGACTTATTGACCTGTTATGTAATTTAGGTGTTGCAGTTTAATATGTGGTTATCCATAACTCACTTTGTCACATAATTCTCTAACTTAATCTCACTTCAATCCTGTCATCTCCATTTCACAGCGGAGGGATGCTGGTGCTGCATCAGCTCTGTTTAGAGACAGCAGCACAGCCTGGAAGTTGGGAAAAGACTTCCTGCAGCTGCCCTATGGGAGTTGAGGGGAGTGCCCCTAGTCACTGTGGAAAGAGTGTACCTAGAAACCCAATGTCAAATATTTGGCAGGAGTTAGGTTTGCTAGGAAATAGTAGAAGTCAGACTCTCTTGGCTAATTGGTTTGAATGTGGATTTGCGTATTTTACTTAGGGAAGGCAGAATCAGCTGCCTAGACACATGTCAGTAGTAAGACAAACTGGAGACTGCCTGGACTGTAGGACTCTTGCTCCCTGGCCATGGTCTTGCCACGTTGAAGGCATGGTATAGGATGCGTGTGTGTTGAATTGCTGGAGGCTAGTGACTAGGTCTAGGGGAGGTAGGCTGTGTTTGCATTGCTGGCGATGGTCACAGCACATGCAGTGGTTTGGCAGATTTAAGAGATTGTGAGCAGGGGAAGTAGATTCAGCATCTTCCTGTCTGACTTGCACTGTTCTCTCTAGACCCCTGCCTGCGGGGAGCTGTGGCTTTGTCTTTTTTCTCCTGAGTATCTCCCGGCTGTGTCTGCCATAGCAGGTCCCTGAATTAATTCTTGGCAGGGCTGTGGTCTGAATATTGTGCAGATGGGAAATTGTTTGAGTTTTAAAAAGGCTCGTGTAATGATTTTGTCTTATTTTCAATAGGGACGTTTAACATTTTAGAAGGGAAATCTTGGTGACCAGTTCTAAGAGGTTGGTTTTTAAATGAGTATTTAGGATAGTCTTAGATATAAACACAAATTCCAAAAGGATTGAAAGGTATCAACTCCAGCTTGCATATTTATGGAACCACTTATGATAGGATCTTTGTTGGAAGCAGGAGAAGATCCTGATTAAGAATCATTTGGTAGAGCTAGGCTTTTCCTTATCTTCCTTTCCCACTTTTCCCAGCTTTCTCTTCTTGAGAGCTGCTGGAGAGCAATTTGTATTTCAAGTGTAAAGAATTAAGTCATCACCGCTCAATACATGATGTGTTTATTGATGACTATTCAACTCTCTTCAAGTGATTAGTGAACTGCCATTTCCCTAAATGTAAACAATTGTTAATGATCAAGTAAGAAATACAGATGAAATAAAAAATCTTTTGTTGTTGGAATTTGTGAAAAGTGAACAGACTGTGCAGCAACTCTGGAAAGTGTGCCTCTCCTGCATCTTGTTACATCTCCTTGCCATGGACTAAGTGTTGTGTTCCTCCTAAGTTCACGTCTGTGTTCTCACCCCAAGGGGAGGGTGCTTGGAGTAAGACTTTGGGAGGTTTTTGGGCCATGGAGGTGGAACTCGTATGCATGAGAGTAGTGGCCTTAAGAAAAGAGATCCCAGAGAGACCCTCACTCTCCATCCAGGCTGGGCAGGGCGAAAGGCACTGTCTATGGAGCATGTCTAAGAAGGTCCTCACCACATGTAGGCTCTGCCTTGATCTTGGACTTCCCAGCCTCTAGCACTGGAAGAAGTAAATTTTGGCTGGTTTTTGTTGTTGTTTTCTAGTACTGGGGTTTGAACTCAGGGCCTCATACTTGGCTAGGCAGGTACTCTACCACTCGAGCCCTGGCCCCCCACCCCCCCAGCCAGGGCTTCTTTTTTTCAGATAGGGTCTCACACATTTTGCTCAGGTCTTCTCTGACAGGTGTCCTCCTACCTATGTCTCCTGCAGAGGTGGGATGACAGGCATGTTCCACCATACCCAGATTGTTTTTTGAGATAGGCTTTCAGTACCATTTTTGTCTGGGTTGACTTTGGACCTCTGTCCTGCTATCTCTGCCTCCCAAGTAGCTGGGATTACAGGTGTGAGTCATGGTGCCCATCCCTTAGTCTATGGTATTTTTTATAGCAACTTGAACATATTAAGACATGTGTTATTATATTTTTATTATTTTTTGTTATTATACTTTAACTTACAATTCATCTCACCTCTGGTCTGTATTAGGGCTGACAGGGAAGATGGGCGAGAAAGAAGGGAGTATTTCCTCCTTGCTTACTATGTACCAGATAGAAATTTAGATTTTTATGTATACATCTTCATTTCATCCTCAGACAAGCCTAGAAGGATAATAGCATCCTTGTTTAATTCAGAAATGGAGTCTTAGATTAATTTTCCTAGGGTCCCAGAGCTAGTAGTATATTCAGGATTTGAACCAAGAGTCCATGTTTTTTCATTATACTGACTATGCTAGAATCGGGTCTGGGAACACGAATAGGATGAATCTAGTATAAATTCCCTGGTGTTCTGTCTTCTGTCCTGCATTTCCCAGTATTTCTGTTCAGGTGCCCTGGGCTTCAGGTGAAAAGCAAAGGCTACCTGGGAGGAAAGGTAAATGAGAGCCTCATTTCCAGATTGTTTGGGAGAGGGAAACTAAGGATGGGCCAAAAGAGGAGGGGCGGCTCCTCTGCGCTATCTGGAGGTGGGGTGGGCTTGCAGGGGAAGGGCGGGGGGTGGGGGCGGTAAGATAATGAGGATGTGTGCGTGGCCCTCACACACAAAGCCTCAGTCACAAAGGCTTCTTCAGCCTCTCCTGTCCCAGCCCAGCTACTAGGGAAAGTACCTACTGGATAAATTAGAAAACAAAAAGTTTTCAGGAGAGTCAGATCAGATTCCAAAACAATAATATGGAAGAAAGCTACTAGATGAAGGAAAAGATGAAGGTCTATGAACACTGGCACCTTCGGGATTGGGTTCCTGAGGCCCCTGTTTTGGGGATGGTAAGGAATATTGTTTAGCAGCTGTTGTTCTCTTACAGGGTACCAGAGCCCATGAAAGAGACTGTAGAGCTAAAAGAATAAGTTTACAGGCTGATGAGAACAAGTTAAGGATAGGGAGCTATAGTATTAGGGGGATAAGTGTCATATATAGGGAGGCAGCCATTGCAGTGGAGAAAGACTGACATAGGCTTTGTTCTCACTCGTCATTAGGATGCTTTGTGACCTGGAGCAAGTTTCTTATGACTCCAGGACTCAGTTTCCTCATCTGTGAAATGGGTAACCTTGCAGGGATATTGTACCTTGGAGGAATATCACAGTCACAGGAAATGTATGTAAAATGGAAAACACAGCTGGTCACAATTTGACTGTTATTAAGTGCTTTTAGAGTCAGATGGGGAACAGTAAGAATCTGGTTGGAAGGCTAGATTGGAGAAGGCACTGTATAGGGTTGACTGAGTTTCAAAGAAGGGGTTTGTAAGTATGTGCCATAAAGATCCAGTGTTAGTGCCTGGACTCACTTCCTTTCTTGTGGGAGCACTGGGAAGGCATCTTTCACCAATGCCTTGTCTCATTTTAATGGATGCTTATAGCTGGCCTAGGGCTGGGATATTAAAGCCCAGAGGAAAGCAGAACAAATTCATATTAGCAGCTTATTTATGAGACTCGGGATGGGTGGAAAACAGGGCCAAATCCAGGGCAGGGAAGTATGAAAGCAGAGCTCTCTCTGCCCAGGCTCCCAGCTGGCTGAAGGCCCACAGCACAGGCTGGGAGTGTCTGTCCGTCCCAGGCTCCTCCAGCTTACTTTCAGCTTGGTGATAGGCAGGAGGCTTGTAAACCAGGTGAGTTCAAGGTCCCCACAAAGAATGCACAGAGAAATCACTGTCTGCAAAGAATAAAATCTTCTGGTGGTAGTTATGATGGACAAGTGAAACCCACTAAAGCCACCATAGGCTCATGTGAAAAGCTCCCCACTGTGGACTTGATTCTAGCGAGAAGAAGGCAGCTGCAATCTCAGCATCCAGGTGTAACCATTGTTAATATCTTTCCAGACTTTTGTATGTGCAGATCAATGCACAGATTCATGTTTACGTAAATAAAACAGAGTTAGACAGTAGTTAATGCTTTATGAAATCTTTTCCTCGTTTTCATTTTAATGGATGCATAGTATTCCATCATGTGAATTTATCCAATTTTCTATTGTGTAATGCTTACCTTTCATCTATTATTTTTGCTATTATAAGTATTATAAAACACTTCCTCTTCCCTCTTTCATGGTAGTTTTCTGTTTTGCAGCATTGCTGGGAGCCTGATATATTCTTACATCACTTTCACTGAAGAGCAGCTGAGCAAACAGTCAGAGGCCAGTAGCAAGCTGGACATTAAGGGGAAAGGAGCAGTGTGAACAGAGCATTGCTCCAACTCTGTGCCAAGTTGCTGATCAACGCAGAACACTGGCACTTCCTCCAGACTCTGAGATCTCTCAGTTACGCAGAGAGCACCGTTCCTTTGCACTTGCACAACAGAGCATTGATTGCTGCCTTTTCAAATTTTACCAGAGAAACTTATAACTGACTCTATTTTAAATGTGTTGTTTGAGTTAATTTATATCAGACTGGAAAATGTACTGGGCTTTTTAATTTATTTTTCTTCTACTCTGACAGTGAAATATCAGTGTTTTGAAAATATTTTATTCCATAGTTTGATATCCAGGTGTCCCTGAGAGCCACATCGCTCAAATTGCTGCAGCTCCTGGAGGCAGGTTAGCCTTTCTTCTGCTAGAAATGCAGCTGAATAGCTGAAATTTCTTTTTTTCGAATTGTATTTCTTAGGAGCACATTGTATTCATAACATCATCGTCTGGTGCAGTCACCAGAAACAACTTTGGCAGTAAAACAATGAGGTTTGCCTGTTTGCTTCCCTGAGCCCTCATGGGATGAGCTGAGTGCATTTCTTGAGACTGCCTTGACACTTTGTGATGCAGGAGGGGATAATGAAGGGATGGAGAGAGTAGGCCTTTTACTTGTGTATTCATCTGTTTCATTCACTCATTCAACTAAAGTGTACTGAGTGTGTGTGCCAGGCATTGTGTTGAGGGTGCAAAAGTTGTTGTAGGAGGTATCTGAAAGATCTCACTCCTGCCGCAGTGACTGAAGGTGAGACGAGAACTTGTTCTCCCCATCCATTCAGAAGGACTGGGACAATGAGTGAGATGTTTCAGCTCTCAGAACCAGCATGTCTGCAAATGGGACTAGAAACACCTGCCCTTCCTGCTCCATAACAGCGCGAGGCTGAAGAGCTGCATCCTATATCCAACTCCGCAGCAGCTCAGTGGTGACCCTTCTCTGCATGAGATTGGCAGGCAGGTAAGGGGACCTGCCTCCGTTTCCCTGCCTGCCTCCTCTGGGACTGGTTGCTCCTCCTCTTATCATCTTCTCAGGTATTGTGACCAGGGCCCACAATTTTGAATTATCTGGTGTGGGGGAAAGGCTAGTTTGGTGTTTTGTGTTGTCAGGGCTTGATCTTTTCCTGGCAGTGTTAGCATCCTCCCTCCTTCAGTGGCACGAGCATGAGAGTCCTTTGGACACACCTGCCTGTATCCTCTGCCCTTGGTTCACTTAATGAGCTTGCCAGCCTCTATCAGGACTGGTGCTGCTGCATCCTGGGAGAGCAGCTGTGAATGGGCATTGCCTGGATTGCCTGTTGGGGAGGGAAGTGTTCACTCAAACACAGCCCTGTAGCATGGCTCAGAGACATGCGTTGGCTTTGGGGATGAGTGTGTTTGCTGAGTTTGGTAGTGCAGTCTGCACTGGAGGCTGGAGGCCTTGCACGGGAGCACATACTAGCTTCTGTTTCATTGGGTTTAGAATCCACTGGGCTCTTTTGACCCAGGCAATTCATATTTTGGTGTCTCAACAGGACTAGGAGAGTTTTAATTTTTGTTTTCTATTTGAAAAATCATGTTTGTAGGATCCAACTTAAATGTAGGTTAAAAAAATACACCTGCAAATTTACTGTAATCCTCTTGTATCAGGAATCCATGGAAGGTTTTGTTCAATAGAGCTGAGAGTAGACAGAATAGTAGTTTCACATCAGAAAGTACTATTCGGAAGAGTACCTAGGACTTTGGGCCTCATTCAGTGAGTGAAGTCTTAGTGAGCAGCTGTTGTATATCAAGCTTGGGGAAACATGAGTGGGACACAGTTTCTGCTATTAGAGGTGGTGACCTGGCCCCTAAATGAGAGAGGAAGCACATGAAGAGAATTTGTGAGCAAGATCTGAGGTACAGTTATCAGTGCCACTGATTCTCAGTGATCCACCTCCAGAGGAACGCAGTGTTTCAATCTTAAAGGACTTCTGTAACTCAGTAGTCAGCCCTGTAGTTGAGATCAGCGACATGGCTCTTAGAATTCTGTCAGTAGCCCAAGTTCTTCCTTCCCAACTGTACATACTCTTTTTTTTGTATTTTTGGTGGGACTGGGGTTTGAACTCAGGGCTTTGCGCTTGCAAAAAAGGTGCTCTACTGCATGAGCCACACCTTTAGTCTATTTTTGTCTGGTTATTTTGGAGATGGGTCTCTAGAACTATTTGCCTGGAGTGGCCTGGTGGCCTTGTGATCCTACCGATCTTAGCCTCCCAAGTAGCTAGGATTGCAGGCATGAGCCAGTGGCGCCCAGCCCTACTGCATATATGCTTAACCTCCCCATAACTAATTATGGTTCCTCCTATAAACAAATAGACTGCGATTGATTTTTCCCTTCCTAAGGGGAAAATATTCAGAATAAATGAGGCAATGACTATAAAACAAACCTAGCACAATGTCTAGTACATATTAGGCCCTAAATGCAGCCATGTCATTTCCTGGTCAGAGAGGCACAAACAAGATTCGTAATTTGTGCTTTTCAAATGCTTTTTCAAACACACACAGTGTGTGTGTTTCTAGAAAAACATGACCGTGTACTGCACTGCCTGAGTACTGACATCACGGCTTCTGTCCACTTTTGTTTCCTTTAAAAAAAAAACCAAAAAAACCTACTGAATATAATGGTCACGGTGTGGTACAGATGTTGATACCTATTTTTTTAAAAGAACAAAATTACTTTCATGTTAAGATAGTAAATTTCAAAAAATGAAAGCTGTTTTCTATCTCAGAAGAAAACTCTTTTCTATCTCTTAATGAAAATTCAGTTAAAAAGCAACAACAAAAACAAAACTCCCAGTGTTCTCAGTGTATCAACTGATGGTGGCTCCCACACAGGCCAGAACTTCCTTGGTCCCCTCTGAGTTAAATGCACTTACCTCGTGCTGCCTCTGCCTCTGTGCTCATCACAGTTGTGGCGATTGGTGGGTCTCTTTGTCATCACTGTTTTCTAAACCTGCCTTCTAGTGCTGTTAGGATGCTACTTTGTGGTGTGCGATATTCTATGGTTTTGTTTTGTTTAAGTTTTGTTCGTTTTGAAAATACTTTTTAAAAAGAAATCTACTACTGTCTCTTCAAAAATGTTTCTAGAAATTATTTTGTCCACAAATGTTTTCTTTCTCATACTGATCAACTGGTTTTTGTCTACAAATGTTAGTCTCTCATATTTTTCCAATATATAGATTCTATTTACCAATTTATTTAGTGTTTTTAAAAGGTACTGAGGATTGAGATATGTAAATCAGGTGACATAAACATGAAAATTATGTGCCTAAATATTTTTGTAATGGTGTCAAATAAATACCTTTTCCTGAAAGTGTGTATTAGAATTTCTTTCTAAATGAATACAAAAACTAATGGAGACAGAATTCTTCTCACACTTGAGAGAACAGCATCCAGTTAATTGATTAAGGCCTAGTAACAGGAGAATACTGTTTTCCATAGGAATGCTTTACAAAAAGAAAAGTCTCATCTGATTAAATACTCGCTGTCGTTGGCATACCTCGTGTCAATTTGAAGAAAAGAAATGCTAACTTTTCTGCTTTCAGAATGCTTCACCTGTATGATCAGCTTTCCTAGCGTCTGAGTAGCTTTACTTGATAAGAAGTCAAAAATAAAACATGTTCATTGAGAAGAGCCACTTTGGTACAGGTGCAGGTAGACACTACACAGAGGTACATTAAGGCCTGTCAGAGGGAAGAGTACATTAAAGACACCTAAAACAAAAGAAAAAACAAGCTTGTAGAATACATATAAATTTACTACCTTGCCTGTTTTGAGTGTACAGCTCAGTGTTTGGTATATCCACAGTGCTGTGCAGTCAGTCTCCATATTTTTTTCGTTTTGCTAAACGGAATCTGTACTCATTAAACAAAATGTTCTCATTCTGTGCCTCTGGAGTGGAGTATTTCAGGTAACTTACTCAAGTGTGATTACATGGTATTTGTCTTTTTTGTGACTGGTTTATTTCAGGTAACTGTTCTCAAGTTCATCTATGTAGCATTCTATCAGAATTTCCTTTAAGGCTGAGAAATACACCGTTGTACGTACATAACACATTTTGTCTGTTGATGGGTTGCTTCACCTGTTGGCTTTTGTGACTAATGTTGCTATGAGCCATAGTCTCAAGAAACCGCTTTCAGTTCTCTTGCATGTGCACCCAGACTTGGAATTGTTGGGTGATGTAGGATTGCTACTTGTGAGGAACCACCATACCCTTTCCATTATGGCTGTACTCTTTCACATTCCCAACAGTCACAAGGGGTCTGATTTTTCCATCCTCATTCACACTTGCCATTTTCTGTTTGGATAATAGCCATCCGTATGGGGTGAGGTAATGGGCTCATTGTGGTTTTGATTCGTAGTTCCCTAATGAGCAGTGATGATAACGTACCTTTTCATATGTGTGTTGGACATTTATATTTCTCTGTTGGAGAAATATTTAAGCCCATTTTCCACTCTTTGATCAGGCTGTTTTTGGAATCAATGAGTAATGGGAGTTCTTTATATATTCTTTTTTTTAACTTTATCAAATACATATTATTTGCAAATATTTTATCCTTTTCACTGTTGATTATGTCCTTTGATGCAGAGAATTTTTAAATTTTGTGTAGTCCAGTTTATCTAGTTACACTTCTATTGCCTGTGCTTTTTGGTGGCATATCCAAGGAATCATTACCAAATGCAAAGTCATGAAGCTTTTTCCTTTTCTCCTAAGAGATTTATGTTAGGTTTTATGATTAGCTCTTGAACACATTTTAAGTTAAATGTCATTTTGGTTGTTTCATTTTGGTGGTACTGGAGAGGTTTTTTTTTTTGTTTTTTTTTTCTCCAGTATTGGGGCTTGAACTCAGGGCCTTCACCTTGAAGCCACTCCACCAGCCCTATTTTTGTGAAGGGTTTTTCAAGATGGAGTCTCATGAGCTTTTTGCCCAGGCTGGCTTTGAATCGTGATCCTCCTTATCTCTGCCTCTTGAGTAGCTAGGATTACAGATGTAAGCCACCAGTGCCTGGCTATGGTATTGGAGTTTGAACTCAGGGCCTTATGTTTGCTAGTCATCTGCTCTACTACTTGATCACACCCCAGCCCTTAAGTTAATTTATATGATACAAAGTAAGGGTCCAACTTCATGCTTTTGCATGTGTATATCCAGTTTTCCCAACTTTTTTGAAGAGACTGTATATAAGGCATGCATTTCATCAACTTTTAAAAATCCTTAGTTTGGCTGTTCATAATAATTTGTTCTTCATAATTTGTCAAAAGGTATATGCTTTTTGTCATTGGGCCTTTGACTGGCTTCCTGCCTCACTGG